AAAACGGTTTCGCACCGAGACCAGAATACGGTGGTGTTTTCGACATTTTTCGAGGATTTTTTGGTGTCTGAGCGCAAGAGGGTATTGAAATGGAATTTTGGGTCATTTTGGTAGCTTTCCGGCAATGGAAAAACGGCCAAAAATGAAAAAAACATTGTACATAGCAAGATTTTGCAGGGGTTTTGGATGCCAGAGCATTGAAAACACTGCAAAAACAAGTGTTTTGGACTGACGTTATAGCAAAAAACGTGTAAATTACCGTATGCTTGACTGGAAACATTACAAAAACACTGTCAAAAGCAATGTTTTGGAAGGATTTACTGCCTTTATGGCAAAAAACGTGTAAATTACCGTCTATTTGACTGGAAACATTGGAAAAAACACTGTCAAAAACATTCAAAAACAATGTTTTGGAAGGATTTCTTATATATATGTTGGAGTTGGCTACCGGCATTGGCACATGGAAAAATTGAAGAAAACACTGTAAATAGCGGTATTTTCAACGGTTGGGGAGATAAGGGAATTGGAAGCATTGTCGAACATGATGTTTTCGACCGGTTTTATGGCGACAAAAGTGTAAAAGTACCGTGCTTTGAAGGAAACCATTGCAAAAACATGGAAACACATTCAAAGAACACGGGATTTGGGGGACTATCTAGGCGTCGTTGTCTAGCTATTTTGAAATTCCGCAGCTTGGAGAGCCTCCAAGGGAGGGAAAAGTGAAAATTCCATAGCTTGGGAAGCTGTCACGGCGGGGAAACCTAGCTTGGGAAGCCCCCACGGGGGGGAAAAGTGAAAATTCCCTAGCTTGGGGAGCCCCGACGGGGGGGAAAAGTGAAAATTCCCTAGCTTGGGGAGCCCCCACGGGGGGGAAAAGTGAAAATTCCCTAGCTTGGGGAGCCCCCACGGGGGGAAAAGTGAAAATTCCCTAGCTTGGGGAGCCCCCACGGGGGGGGAAAGTGAAAATTCTTAGCTTGGGGAGCCCCCACGGGGGAAAACCACCCTTAGCCCCTCTCACGGACCGAAATAAACCTGCGGTGTGGGCGGCCACCCCACGCGAAGCGGGGTGAATATGGAAAAATGCAATTATATTATATCTTTAACAATGATCAACCACCAGTTTCTGGGTGGTTTTCCAAGGGATTTGGAAGATACTTCGCAACTGGATGCATGTCACGAGTACATGCCGGGAGGGAGGAACTGAGACTGGTTTGTGATTTCCAAAGTTTGGACATGACTGAGTTCACAGAACATGTGGAGTTCGTGCGTGCATGACATGCAATGCGCCATCATGGGCATTCGTGCCTCGGTCGCTGGAGCAGAATGCTGAGATGTTCCCAGGGCAGTTGAGGCTGGAGCAAGCTGCTGCGCATCGGCCGTCGCATCTGTCGCTGCAGAGCCGTTTTCGCCTCCTAGCCATGCAGCTGCGGACGGCGTCGCCTGCAAGGCCCACGGAGCCGGGATCGGAGCCCGGATACCCTGCTGTACACGGTCCAAGGTGGGGAAAAATCCTACGGTTCCCCAAAATCGGACATGATGGACATGGCACTTGAAAGCTCAGGGATTTGCAGAACATGCCCAGAGTTTGGATATCAGGTGCACATCACTTGCATCATGCATCTATACATCATGGAACCGCATGCCTGAGAAGCTGCAGCCGATTGCTGAGATGTTTCCAGGTTAGGAGTCGCGGCTGCAGCAAACTGCTTCACATCTGCTAGACCTGCAGCAAACTGCGTCGGATCTTCGAACTGATGGTCGTCCCCATCGATCTCGACGCTGAAGTGACGCCCCGATTCAGCCAGCAGAGGCGCAGAGACTAGCGGCATTCTATTGAATTTCACCTTCATCTTCAAGATTTGCCCTGCCTGATGGAGCTGAATTTCTTCTTTGTGATGATAGGTTCCAAGAGCGACACTGGGTCCACATCTGCTGAAACAATTCAACACATCTGGATCCGAGCAGAGCTGTTCCAAACCCTTCTGACATGTGCCACATGCAACATGCAGCAGTGCCACTTTGGCAGCCGCACCCTGTGGCAGGATGAAGCCGACAGCTTTGACGTGGCACTGTCCCGTCACTGCCATATCGCAGAAATGGTCCAGTTTCACGGTCACGCGGCCATCGCCAAAGGTCGCATCCTCCACGGGTGCCCATCCACGGGTGGAAGATCTCCACACGGTTGCGGCGCCCACGCAGGTGGGCATCTCTACCTGGCAGATGTTGACAATCAGAAAGTTTCAATGAAAAAAATGTCGGCATAAACACATCCATGGCAAATCATGGCAAATACATCTTAATGGCTCTTGTTTGCGGTTGGCCTTCCTAGTTTTTGCGCAACCCCAAAATTCTCGCAACGAGGCGGAGTTGAGGTCTCGACAGGTTGGATCCCAGTGCCATCCCCTGCCTCTACGGGCAGAAGGAACGTGACATCTTCCGGATGGAGGCGGATCAGGTGACTTAGCACCACGTGACCGGAAGGAAAGGCCTGAGTGAAACGCTTCAAAATGCTGCGCAGCAACGCAAGCTTTGCACAACAATGTGCGTAGATGATTTTAGCATATTTCAGCGATGCTAGTGCGAACATGTGTTGTTTGATCGAGATTTTACTTTGGTGATGCATGTATGCAATGCAATATTCAAATACAATGCAGTACATGTACATGTTCTATACTGCATATATCCTCCTATCAGATTCTCTTGGTTGCGGCTGCTGGCAGGACACCTTCTCCAATGATGATGGATCCTTCAAACCACTCCAGCTGTCCAGGACGTCGATCTTCAGCATGTGAGCGTCAAAGATCGATTGGTTGGTCTTTAAAAAGATCCCATGGCCAACATCTTTCACAACCAGAGGATCCTCCTGACATTGACGGCAACAACACTAAGTGGTTCTTGGTTTCAGCTCAGCTAGACAAGGTTTGCCCTGCAGGATACAGACAGCATGGGCCCCCTTGAAGTTTTTTGGGATTTCAACCCCACTGACCCAGCTTGGGCGCCACATTCAACGATGTTTGGTCATCTGATGTCATCCGACTCATTCCGGAACTCTTAGGGGAACCGAGTTGGAAGTTTCAACTTGACAGCCCGCTTTCACCCCATCCTGGACTGGGGCAGAATCTTCCGCAGGTTGGGATGGCAAGTCCTTGGGTCACAAATGGATCCTGCTCCAACAGGACCCTGGCAACCATTGGGTTTGAAAGATGATGGTTTATCGCCAAACAAGAGCTTATCCTCTGGGAAGTAGCTTACAAAAAAAAAAAACTTCGTCACTGTCTCAACTCACCATGAATACACGTTTAGCTCCTTGCTGCAAAATGCCACAAAAACCTGCAGGTGGCAAAAACCCAAGATGATGTTCCAAACGAAGAAAACTCACACATCTATGACAAAGTGATGATGTTTTCTTGTTACACTAAGATGTCTGGAAGATAGCCTTGTCAGTGATGGAGGATGAAGGAGGATCACTTCGGGGACCCGGAGATTCCATTTTCCGACGTGCTGTGTCCAGTCCCGTTTCTATCAGAGTCGCTATGGCCGCTATGACTGCAGTCAGCGTATTTCCGGGCAAAATGTTCGCTTCTTCCAGGCGCATCGCTCCGGTCCTGGCTGGGTCAAGCTTCAACAAATCAAGGGGGGCTGATGCACTCGCTTCATGGGTTCCAACAGCTCAATGGTGATTGCGCTTCCAAGGGCCAACTTGCACCAGAATCGGTGAAATCGATGTTCACAAGGCTGTCGCCAGAAAGCTGAAAGAGTCTGAAAGCCTTCATTCGCATGATTTTTGTTGATTATTTGTATTCGCTGCTGAGTCAGCTATTGGTTCGATACTTGCTCTTCTTCAGAATGTTGGCGTGCAGGGCCAACAGAAACTGCTGTTCCCCACTGACTCGATGGGGTTGTGCAAAGAACTTGCAGCATGCAGAGAGCAGTGTATCGCATCAAATCACCCACAGATCCCAGCATCCCCGGTCCCCCCGGGGATGCGAAGGTCTATTTTCGCCCAGGGAAAACACCATACCCATTATCCAGACTGCATTCCGCAACACAAAACAAGGTCACAGGAGAAATAATCATTGAAGAAACCCAAACTGAGAGAGTGAACGAGCATCTGTTGGAAAATACCAAGCAGTAAGCAGTATAACATCCGCTCAGCATCAACTGTGCCAAGCAGCAATGGCTGCATGTCGGGGCCAATGAGATGCTCGATGGTCGTTAACAACTTTCGCCTCGGATCCACAACTGTGTATATATATAATATTATATATGGTGGAAATTTGGAAAACATGTAAACATGCCATCACGAGATCGATGGAAGAGCATCGATGGCAGACGCAACACTGAAAGGCAATGAATCCATTCAACCAGGAAGTGAGTGAAACCATTGAAACTTCAAGCATCTTACACGAGTGGCTGGGGGAATGCTCTGCCTCTATATTTGCCAGAGCCAACAAGTTCTGCTTGCAACCATTTGCAACATCCAACAACTCGCAGCGCCAAAGCCCTTCGCTCTTGCTACAATTCATGGTCGCAGAACTATTGTTGCGTGGTGTGGCCCCAACATCTTTCTTCACATTTCTTGCCATAATTGGTCAGATATACTCAGGCAACATTCATCAAGGAAGTCTTCAAGGAGCAAGCACAGTGCACAAAAGAGGTTACCATGATTGGCCCTGTCATTGCAATCGGAGTAAAAATATCTATAATCGCTTCGCTCAGAACTCACCACGATTCTGCTTCTACTTCATATATCATACATTATCATACATTCTATATGCAAAAAATACGTCGCAATGACAGAACTTTTGTGGAAGGAAAGTGGAAGAATGAAGCATTTCATCTAAAAAAAGGAACTCGGAAACCCTTGTCTCAAAGCCTTCACACTTATTGACTACAAAAAGGCTGCCAACAAGAAAAAACTGGCCCAAAGCTTGAACTGCAAGGATGCCAAGCCGCTCAGCTTCTTCTTTCAAGTCTTGTACAGTTTCATGCGCAGAGTTGCCTCGGTGTTTTCCCCTGGTGGAGGTGTCCAAAACCAAGTTATAGACAGCATGGCTACATAATCTTTATCTTATACTGCGATAGGCTTAGGACGAAATTCTACAACATGGCTGCGGATCACATTATTTCTCGCCAGCTCAAAACAAACCCATCTCTTCGCAATTCATGTCAAGTAATTATACGAAGGTAGAGTCACTTATATAAATCAATCTACTGATATCATCTCACATCATGCATCATCGCATTTGTTTTACAATTATGTTCATTACTGCTGTGGTATCTGCATCAAAGTTGTTTGTGTTTTGCAAGGCTTCCGCTGCTTTTGGTGCAGCCAAGGCACATCTGCAGCTCCGGCCACTTAGAAGGGCCACAAATACCTCACAAAAAGAATGGCAACGCATCGGAGTCAATTCGAACGCGTGACAGCTTCACAATATCAGGATTGCAACGACCCAATAAGAACCATTGTCATTTCTTGGTGAGTTCCTATAGCCTACGTGTGCCGAAGCTTTGGTGCACCAAGAGATGCTCAACCCAGCGCCAAGGGACCGGGTCTAGCACACCCATCACCTGCCGGCGGTCGTTTTGCTTGGCGCAGTCGTACGGCGTCTTGCCTTGCCATACGCAGCTGAAAGTGCCAAGGCCCGGTGTAGACGGATGTGGGGCTGAGTTTGGCCCCAAAATCCAGATACCAGTAGTATCATTTAGATTCATTTAGTGTCATTGCTTTTCAAGTTGTTTTACGGATGCTTTACGTTGATGTCTGGAGGACGTACTAGCATATTTCCTACATATCATATCACCCACTTTCACCCCCTATATATAACCTTATCGTTGGTATCCTAATCGCTGTTTCCAAAATCATATCATTCTTAACAAGTTCTTACTGTGCCAGTGGATGCCACTGTCTTCTGTGGTTTGTGTCGGTTTGTCACCCCATGTTGACACTTGCCAAACATCCCACCATGACAGCGCCAAAAAAAACAATTCCCACAGCCTGAAACAAACCCAGAATACGTTCATGTGTCTGGCTTCGCTGGTGCAGTGCATGTACTTTAGAAGATTCACAAAATCCCAATCCCACCTACAGCAAATACCACCTATCAGTTTTATCCTGCCACAGCTCTGTGCACATGATGCATTCAAAATCACCAAACAACTTGTCACCGAGTTTGTTCTTTCACTCACTGTGCATCAGATCATCCCTCCACTCCACCCCCTGTCGTCCCCACCGGCCGTTTCTGGGGCCCCGGCCATCGCTGTCCACAGCATCCACGGCGGCGCCCACGGCAAGGAGCCGCTCCACAACGGCGGCGGCGCCGTCGATAGCCGCCCTGTGCAGCGCTGTCCGACCTCAGGCGCCGAAGGGCTCGGAGACGTCAACAGCTGGAGGGCTCCACCCGCTCTCCCCCACCCCCACTGCAGTGGGAGAAACTGCAATCTGTGGAGTGAAGTCCGTGAGTTTCATCCTTTTCCAAATTGTATAACGAGCTGGCTCAATGGCAGCCACTATTGGTGTTTGTGAAGATCACCAAGACTACGAACTGATGGAACCTTCCAAAACAGAAAATCCGAAAAGGGAAAACCGTTTTATGCTTAACAAGTTAAGCTTTATCTCAACATATCTCGAGCATTCTCAAGCTCTCTTTCACACCCACAGTACGCCCATACAGGTAGCAAATGTGCAAGAGTTCTTGTCATGTCTCTTAAGATGTCTTATGATGTCTTGTGGTGTTTCAGATCGATGTCTTACCATCGTCATGCAGAGAATGCTTTGTCAAAGGTCGACATTGCGTGTGGGCAATTTGTGTTACATCACTGCAGTGATAACATTCCGGTGGATGCCACTGTGTTCTGTCGCTTTGACACCTCATGTATCGCCACTTGCCAAATATCTCACCATAGCGTTTGAGAAGATTCCCAAAATCCAAATCCCATCTACAGCAAATACCACCTATTAGTTTTATCCTGCCACAGCTCTGTGCACATGGCGCATTGACAGTCATCAAACAACATGTCACCGAGGTTGTTCTTTCACTCGCTCTGCATCAGATCATCCCTCCACTCCACCCCCTTCTCGTCTCCACCGGCCGTTTCCAGGGCCCCCGGCCATTGCTGTCCACAGCATCCACGGCGGCGCCCACGGCAAGGAGCCGCTCCACGACGGCGGTGCGGCCCTTGTCAGCCGCCCAGTGCAGCGCTGTCCGACCTCAGGCGCCAAAGGGCTCGGAGACGTCAACAGCTGGAGGGCTCCACCCCGTGGCTCTCCACCGCCCACCCCCACTGCAGTGGGAGAAACTGCAATCTGTGGAGTGAAGTTCGTGAGTTTCATCTTTTTCAACATTGTATAGTGAGCTGGTTCAATGGCAGCCATTATCGTTGCTGGTGTTTGTGAAGATCACCAAGACTACGAACCAGAAAATCTGAAAAAGGGAAAACCGATTTCTTACGCCTAAGAAAACTTATCTCAACATATCTCAAATATTTTCAAGCGCTCTTTCACACCCATACAGTAGGCCCATCATTACAGGTAGCAAATGTGCAAGAGTTCTTCTTTCTCAAGATGTTTTATGATGTCTTGTGGTGTTTCACATCGATGTCTTACCATCGACATGCAGAGAATGTGTTGTCAAAGGTCGACATTGCGTGTGGGCAATTCGTGTTATATGTCTGGCGTGATGGGGCACCCGAAAAATGCCAGTGGATGCCACTGTGTTCTGTCGCTTTGACACCTCATGTATCGCCACTTGCCAAATATCTCACCATAGCGTTTGAGAAGATTCCCAAAATCCAAATCCCAGCAAATACCACCTATTAGTTTTATCCTGCCACAGCTCTGTGCACATGGCGCATTGACAGTCATCAAACAACATGTCACCGAGGTTGTTCTTTCACTCGCTCTGCATCAGATCATCCCTCCACTCCACCCCTGTCGTCCCCACTCCCCACCGGCCGTTTCCAGGGCCCCTGGCCATCGCTGCTTGCAGCATCCACGGCGGCGCCCGCAACGAGGAGCTGCTCCACCACAGCGGTGTGGCCCCATTTCGCCGCGTCGTGCAGCGGTGTCCAACCTCAGGCGCCGAAGGGCTCGGAGACGTCAACGGCTGGCTCCACCCCGTGGCTCTCCACCGCCCACCCCCACACTCGACTGGGAGAGGCTCGAATCTGTGGAGTGAAGTCCGTGAGTTTCATCTTTTCAAAATTGTGTGGCAAGCTGGCTCAATGGCAGCCACTATCGTTGCTGGTGTTTGTGAAGATCACCAAGACTACGAACTGATGGCACCTTCCAGAAGAGGATATCCGAAAAGGGGAAAACTGTTTTACGCCTAACAAGTTAAACTTATCTCAACGTATCTCGAGCATTCTCAGGCTCTCTTTCACACCCATACAGTAGGCACATACAGATAGCACATGTGCAAGAGTTCTTCTCTCTCAACGTGTCTTATGATGTCTTGTGGTGTTTCACATCGATGTCTTACCATCGACATGCAGAGAATGTTTTGTCAAAGGTCGACATTGCGCGTGGGCAGTTCGTGTTATATCCCTGGAGTGGTGGGGCACCCGAAAAATGCCCGTGGATGCCACTGTGTTCTGTCGCTTTGTCACCTCATGTATTGTCACTTGCCAAATATCTCTCTATGGCGTTTGAGAAAATTCACAAAATCCCAATCCCATCTACAGCAAATACCACCTATTAGTTTTATCCTGCCACAGCTCTGTGCACATGACGCATTCAAAAAGTCATCAAACAACATGTCACCGAGGTTGTTCTTTCACTCGCTCTGCATCAGATCATCCCTCCCTCCATCCCCTGTCGTCCCCACCGGCCGTTTCCGGGGCCCCTGGCCTTGGTTGTCCACAGCATCCACGGCGGCGCCCGCGGCGAGGAGCTGCTCCACGACGGCGGCTTGGCCGTTGTCAGCCGCCCAGTGCAGCGGTGTCCAACCTCAGGCGCCGAAGGGCTCGGAGACGTCAACGGCTGGCTCCACCCCGTGGCTCTCCACCGCCCACCCCCACACTTGAGTGGAAGAGGCTCGAATCTGCAGCCACTATCGTTGCTGGTGTTTGTGAAGATCACCAAGACTACGATTACGACCTGATCATACCTTCCCAAGCGGGAAAAATCCGAAAAGCGACACCGAACTGGTATGAACTGGTTGTATGCCTGATAAAACATCATAAAACCTTTTGTATCAGGCTCTTTTACACCCATAAAGGGTTGATCAAGGTTGCACATGTGCAAGATCACCTCTCCAAAGCTGTGTATCCCAGCAGGGACAACTTCATGACTTCATGTGCCTGATTTCCTTCAAATTCTCCACCCTGTGGCTCTCACCTGCTGGAGGTTCATCTCCAGCTAAGGTGGCAAACACCATCGAATTTCATCCAGAAATCCATGGCACCGCCTTCCCACAACGTCCGTCCTGTCGCATCCGTCCCGTCTCTTGGGGCCAGGACCGCCGTTGTCCTTCGCCTCGACGGAAGCGCCAGCGGCGAGCAGCGCCTCGACCACCTCCAGGTGGCCTTCCCAAGCCGCACGGTGCAGCGGCTGCTCGCCTCGGTCCGGAGGGTGCCGCTGGAGATGGCGACGGGACGCGCCAAGTCACATGAGTTGCTTCAGAGGATTTCGGGTCTGAAAATTTGGAGATTGGTCCATTTCTAATTGAGAAATGCATCACTGCCTATCGAAATCAGGATCAACTGATTGGGATGGGAAGTCACACCTCTGCCGTGCCGAAACACTGCAAACCAGATCAAAGATTCACAATAACACACTACAATATAAGCAAGAAATCATTAGAATCCATTTGCATCCATCTGCTATAATTAAGAATACTAGCTAGACTAGCTAGACCCTCAAAATGTCCCCTAAACTTCAAAACCCTCAAAATGTACAGTAAACTTGACCCAACCACCCGAACCACTGTGTGACACACCCGCAACACAAACTTGCAACTGCTGTCTACTGGTAGTTGACTTCTCAACATGCACTCACGTAAAGTACACTGAAGATTCCTGGAACGAAGTTCCCAAAACTGGCAACAAACTCAATGTCGTGTCGCATCTCTTCCACATTTCACCCGTTGCACCGCCTTCCCACCACGTCCGTCCTGTCACATCCGTCCCGTCTCTGGGGGTCAGGACCGCCGTTGTTCTTCGCCTCGACGGAGGCGCCCGCGGCCAGCAGCGCCTGGACCACCTCCAGGTGGCCGTTTAAAGCCGCAAAGTGCAGCGGCCCGGTGCCTCGGTCCGGAAGGCGCCGCTGGAGATGGCGACGGGACGCGCCAAGTCGCATGAGTTGCTTCGGAGGATTTAGGGTCTGAAAAATTGGGAGTTTGGTCATGTTTGGTCCACCATTTCTAACTGAGACATCTATCACTGCCTATCGAAATCAGGATCAACTGGTTGGGAAGTCACACCTCTGCGGTGCCACACACTGCAAACCAGATCAAAGATTCACAATAACACACTACAATATATAAGCAAGAAATCATTAGAATCCATTTGCATCCATCTGCTATAATTAAGAATACTAGCTAGACTAGCTAGACCCTCAAAATGTCCCCTAAACTTCAAAACCCTCAAAATGTACGTACAGTAAACTTGACTCAACCACCCGAACCACTGTGTGACACACCCGCAACACAAACTTGCAACTGCTGTCTACTGGTAGTTGACTTCTCAACATGCACTCACGTAAAGTACACTGAAGATTCCTGGAACGAAGTTCCCAAAACTGGCAACAAACTCAATGTCGTGTCGCATCTCTTCCACATTTCACCCGTTGCACCGCCTTCCCACCACGTCCGTCCTGTCACATCCGTCCCGTCTCTGGGGGCCAGGACCGCAGTTGTTCTTCGCCTCGACGGAGGCGCCGGCGGCCAGCAGCGCCTGGACCACCTCCAGGTGGCCGTTTAAAGCCGCAAAGTGCAGCGGCCCGTTGCCTCGGCCCGGAGGGCGCCGCTGGAGATGGCGACGGGACGCGCCAAGTCGCATGGGTTGCTTCGGAGGATTTCGGAGGATTTCGGGTCTGAAAAATTGGGAGTTTGGCTTCCGACTGAAACACATGTCTCAAATCAGTCTCAACCAAAAAACAGTCTCAACTGGATTGGGAAGTCACAGCTGCGAACCTATAACAACCTCCTCAACCTTCAAGCCTATCCTTTCTCAGGAGTCCGCCGTCTTTGTCGACTTGCTCCAGGCTCTGGGGGTCCACCTGCAGCAAGCGTCGGACAGCTCCGACGTTGCCTTCTTTCGCAGCCTGCAGGATGTCTCCGCCTCAAAACGGCCGAAACTCTGGATCTCTGGCAGTCCAAGGTTTATTCTTAATATATTATACCAGTGGATCCGTCATAATTGTATCATAATGTCAGAATAGTATAGATTCTAGATTTTGCGGCTTTGGCGTTCCTGAACTTGCTTCATTCGACTACTAACAAATATTATTAACAAATGATTGTCATGCACTGGCAGCACCAGAGTGCAAAAGCAAATGTAAACGCATTTAATAAGCGCATCTTTCAAAGCCCAATGTCACATGTCATTCAGCATGGATCCTCAAGCCTGAACATGTGAGGAAACATCTCATGGAATCCTCAAGTCTGAGATCTTCGCAATTCTCGATTTCAGTTTCATCTGCCTGGAAAGCAAAGCACGACATTTTGGACAACCAAAAATTGAGCTAAAAGAGATCTTAGAGTCTTAGAGATTCAGCTCTAGTTTTTCTGTTGTAGAAAAGGCGTGGAAAATATGATGCCTGCATAGGGTTGGTCTGAGATTGAAACCCGAAATCTGAGGAATGCTTGGAGGTCACCCAGTGAGGGACATGTGCCGCAACAGGACAAATTATATATGGAAATCATCGAGGTGGATACAATATGATACAATATCAAAGCAAAAAATGTAGATCCCAACAAAGCAAGATAAAGCCAGTCAAAATCAGTCAATACGACCTACCGCGCCAACACGTCCTCGTGAATACTTCTCAACTCTGTGAAACTTTGTCCCCTGTGGATCCCAATGGAAACAACTTCCCCCAGATCGCCAGTCCTCCGCTTCCACCTTGGAACCTCAGGATTTGACGTGTTTTCGTGGTGAGTCCTCATGAAAAGCCAAGTTGTTCATCTACCACCATTGAACTTGGAAGAACCTGCGACCCGTATCAACTGTGGACTGTCCACCGTCATCAACATCAACCTTACTCCAAATGCTGACGCTCATGCCGTGTCAAAAGGCATCTTCGACACGACACCCCTGTCAGATATGACGCGGTGCCCTGTCATTGGACGGACCCGGTGAGAAAGGCCAAATCAAGTTCCTTTTGGGTGAAGTTGGATGGAATAAGTCTGCCACCTTCCCGTCAGATGTTCTCAT